AATAGTCACTAGGCATTCATTCAGCAAATATTTAATGAGTAAGTTATAGTCTGAGTGCTGGGGAGACAAACATAAACCAAAGAAAACATAAATAAGATCTGGTTCCTTCCAGCCCTGATAACTGAATATTTTTCTGGTGGAATAAAAACTCTTTTCTTTAACAGCAGAAGTCCCCTTCAAAGCACTCATACTGGTTCTGTATTAAGTCACTTGTATGGGATCTTTTTTTTTTTTTTAATAAAGAGTGTGGTTATCTGCCTCCTGTGTTTGAATTCTTTCTCTGTAATTTACAACATATATAATTTTGAGCAAGTTACTTAAACTGAATCCTCTGCTGTGTCATTGAGCATAATAATACCTATGTATTAGAGTTGTTTTAAGAATTAAGTGGATAATAAATATAGTACAGAAGTTAACATCTGTACATCATCAGGTCTCAATCAGTCCAGTTCAGTCGCTCTGTCATGTCCGACTCTCTGCGACCCCATGAACTGCAGCACACCAGGCCTCCCTGTCCATCACCAACTCCCGGAGTCCACCCAAACCCATGTCCATTGAGTTGGTGATGCCATCCAACCATCTCATCCTGTCATCCCCTTCTCCTCCTTCCTTCAGTCTTTCCCAGCATCAGGGTCTTTTCAGATGAGTCAGCTCTTCACAACAGGTGACCAAAGTATTGGAGTTTCAGCTTCAACATCAGTTCTCCCAGTGAACACATAGGACTGATCTCCTTTAGGATGGACTGGTTGAATCTCCTTGCAGTCCAAGGGACTCTCAAGTCTTCTCCAACACCACAGTTCAAAAGCATCAATTCTTCAGTGCTCAGCTTTCTTTATAGTCCAACTCTCACATTCATACATGACTACTGGAAAAATCATAGCCTTGACTAGACCTATCTTTGTTGACAAAGTAATGTCTCTGCTTTCTAATATGCTGTCTAGGTTGTTCATAACTTTCCTTCCAAGGAGTAGGCATCTTTTAATTTCATGGCTGCAGTCATCACCTGCAGTGATCTTGGAGCCCAGAAAAATAAAGTCAGCCACTGTTTCCACTGTTTCCCCATCTATTTGTCATGAAGTGATGGGACTGGATGCCATAATCTTAGTTTTCTGAATGTTGACCTTTAAGCCAACTTTTTCACTCTCCTCTTTCACTTTCATCAAGAGGCCCTTTAGTTCTTCTTCACTTTCTGCCATAAGGGTGGTGTCATCTGCATATCTGAGGTTATTGATATTTCTCGGCAATCTTGATTCCAGCTTGTGCTTCCTCCAGCCCAGCGTTTCTCATGATGTACTCTGCATATAAGTTAAATAAGCAGGGTGACAATATACAGCCTTGACGTACTCCTTTTCCTATTTGGAACCAGTCTGTTGTTCCATGTCCAGTTCTAACTGTTGCTTACTGACCTGCATACAGGTTTCTCAAGAGGCAGGTCAGGTGGTCTGGTATTCCCATCTCTTGAAGAATTTTCCACCGTTTGTTGTGATCCACACAGTCAAAGGCTTTGGCATAGTCAATAAAGCAGAAATAGATGTTTTTCTGGAACTCTCTTGCTTTTCGATGATCCAGCGGATGTTGGCAATTTGATCTCTGGTTCCTCTGTCTTTTCTAAAGCAAGCTTGAACATCTGGAATTTCACGGTTCATGTGTTGTTGAAGCCTGGCTTGGAGAATTTCAAGCATTACTTTACTCGAGTGTGAGATGAGTACAGTTGTGCGGAAGTTTGAGCATTCTTTGGCATTGCCTTTCTTTGGGATTGGAATAAAAACTGACCTTTTCCAGTCCTGTGGCCACTGCTGAGTTTTCCAAATTTGCTGGCATATTGAGTGCAGTGCTTTCACAGCATCATCCTTTAGGATTTGAAATAGTTCAACTGGAATTCCATCACCTCCACTAACTTTGTTCATAGTGATGCTTCCTAAGGCCCACTTGACTTCACATTCCAGGATGTCTGGCTCTAGGTGAGTGTGAGCGATCACACCATTGTGATTATCTGGGTCATGAAAATCTTTTTTGTACAGTTCTTCTGTGTATTCTTGCCACCTCTTCTTAATATCTTCTGCTTCTGTTAGGTCCATACCATTTCTGTCCTTTATCAAACCCATCTTTGCATGAAATGTTCCCTTGGTATCTCTAATTTTCTTGAAGAAAATTAGTCTTTTCCATTCTGTTGTTTTCCTCTATTTCTTTGCACTGATCGCTGAAGAAGGCTTTCTTATCTCTCCTGGCTATTCTTTGGAACTCTGCATTCAAATGGGAGTATCTTTCCTTTTCTCCTTTGCTTTTCACTTCTCTTTTTTTCACAGCTATTTGTAAGGCCTCCTCAGATGGCCATTTTCCTTTTTTGCATTTCTTTTTCTTGGGGATGGTCTTGATTCCTGTCTTCTGTACAGTGTCATGAACCTCTGTCCATAGTTCATCAGGTACTCTGTCTTATCAGATCTAGTCCCTTAAATCTATTTCTCACTTCCACTCTATAGTCAGAAGGGATTTGATTTAGGTAATACCTGAATGGTCTAGTGGTTTTCCCCACTTTCTTCAATTTAAGTCTGAATTTGGCAATAAGGAGTTCATAGTCTGAGCCACAGTCAGCTCCTGGCCTTTTTGCTGACTGTATAGAGCTTCTCTATCTTTGGTGTCAAAGAATATAATCAATCTGATTTCGGTGTTGACCATCTGGTGATGTCCATGTGTAGACATCATTCTCTTGTGTTGTTGGAAGAGGGTGTTTGCTATGACCAGTGTGTTCTCTTGGCAGAGCTCTGTTAACCTTTGCCCTGCTTCATTCTGTACTCTGAGGCCAAACTTGCCTGTTACTCCAGGTGTTTCTTGACTTCCTACTTTTGCATTCCAGTCCCCTATAATGAAAAGGACATCTTTTTTGGGTGTTAGTTCTAAAAGGTCTTGTAGGTCTTCATAGAACAGTTCAGCTTCAGCTTCTTCAGCATTACTGGTCAGGGCATAGACTTGGATTACTGTGATATTGAATGGTTTGCCTTGGAAACGAACAGAGATCATTATGTCATTTTTGAGATTGCGTCCAAGTACTGTATTTTGGATTCTTTTGTTGACTATGATGGCTACTCCATTTCTTCTAAGGGATTCTTGCCCACAGTAGTAGACATAATGGTCATCTGAGTTAAATTCGCCCATTGCAGTCCGTCTTAGTTTGCTGATTCCTAGAATGTCAAAGTTCACTCTTGCCATCTCCTATTTGGCCACTTCCATCTCCTCTTTGACCAGGTCTCAATAAATATTAGCTATTCTGATGAAGATGATGAGGGTGATGACTGTGATTCCTTGAATTTCTGGTTTAGTTTTTTCTGCCTAGTTTTTCTGCCCAAATTAATATGACATGGCAAATACAATAGAGAGATACAGATAGAAAGACATTAGGAAGTCAAATATTAATTGATTTGAAGTGAGTGAGATCAGAACAAGTTGATTCGGCCAGTCACATCCGTTGTTGCCATTCTAATGGCAGGAAGTGAAGAGAAACCAAAGAGCCTCTTGATGAGGGTGAAAGAAGAGAGTGAAAAAGCTTGCTTAAAACTCAACATTCAAAAAACTAAGATCATGGCATCCGGTCTCATCATTTCATGGCAAATAGATCAGAAGATTGGGAAAGATTGGAAGCAGTGGCAAATTTTATGTTCTAAGGCTCCAAAATCACTGCAGATGTTGACTGCAGCCATGATGAAATTAAAAGATGCTTGCTCCTTGAAAGAAAAGCTATGACAAACTTAGCATTTCCAAAAGCAGCGACATCATTTTGCTGACACAGGTCCACATAGTAAAAGCTATGGTTTTTCCAATAGTCATGTACAGAAGTGAGATTTGGACCATAAAGAAAGCTGATTGCCGAAGAATTGATGCTTTTGAACTGTGGTGCTGGAGAAGACTCTTGAGAGTTCCGTGGGCTGCAAGGAGATCAAAGCAGTCAATCCTAAAGGAAAGCATCCCTGAATATTCATTGGAAGAGCTGATGCTGAAGCTGAAACTGCAGTAGTTTGGCTACCTGATGCAAAGAGCCAACTCGTTGGAAAAGACCCTGATGCTGGGAAGGGTTGAAGGCAAAAGGAGAAGGAGGCAACAGAGGACAAGATGGTTGAATGGCATCACCGACACAATGGGTATGAGTTTGAGCAAACTCCAGGAGATAGTAGAGGGCAGGGAAGTGTGTTGTGCTGCAGTCCACGGGGTCAAAAGAGCTGGGCATGACAGCAACTGAACAGCAACAACAGCTGTTTGTTGAAATGGTATCTTTCAAGCATTGATGACTTTCGGAAAGATAACTTGGCCTTTTGGAAAAGCATTAAGCTGTGTAATTGGTCATGATTTTTATTTGAGCTTATTAATTCATTTGTTATTAAAGGAGTTAATATATGTAAAACCACCTGGAGCAGTACCTGGTGAATAGAAAATGCTCTATAAATCCTTCTATCAGTACAAACTTTTTCCATTCATTCATTCATTTGTTCTTTGTTTCATCTAACAAATAATTAGTAAACCTACCAGCTGCCAAGTTGCCTTTATGTATAGAATGGACTAGGTAAACAGCTGCCATTATGAAGATAAGCCTCTCACAAAGGGGAGATCTGCTATTCTTGGTCAGGTCACTAAACCCTTCTAAGTCTTAAAGTCTTCATCAGTAAAATTAAGAAAACCTTTCTGGCTCGAAAATTTCAGGATAGTGTCATCTTATGTCACCATTTACCTGACCTACCAAATGTTGACTATTTTTATTCACTAAATGCCTGTTGATGCCTTCCATGTGCAGGCACTATGCCAAGTGCTGGGAATATAGCAGTAACCAGACAGACATAGCGCCTGCCCTCAGGGACCGTTAAGTCCGACACACAAGACATACATTGTCTAGGTAATTGTGAACCTGATTAGTGTTACCAAGGGAAAAATGTCAGCATTGTGTTACTGATTTCTGTAACAGCTTCTTTTTCCTCCCATTTTGTGAGTTCATATTTTCTTGTCTGTTTAAATAGGGGCTGTAGGACATCATGGAGATAACTTGGTGGAGAAGATCCTCGCGGTGCTTCCCCAGCTTCCAGGCCACACCAGTGATGTGATAGTTAACATGGTGGAGCTCACTGCACTCCAGGCTGAGGAGGAGAGTCAGAATGTGGTTGTACCCGGCTGTCTTGCACAATCCAAGTAAGATGTGTGGTTTTTTTCCCCTATTTTCCTTTTCTTTCTTTTCTAGAGTGTTCCTATAGAAAGGAAACAATGAAGAGTTAGTCTGGTTGAAAAATTTGTAGTGGATAACATTTAGAAAAAAGAATTTTTTCTAAACTTTGAAATAATTGTGTTTGTTAAACAACGTAAGCCGAGAAGTACAGAATTTTGAAAAGGTGTTATTTAGATGTAATATAAGCTTATTCCAGGGTCAGCTAAGTGAGTCAATTTATACATCTCCATTTCTCAGACAGTTTCACGTGGAGTTGAGGCTCGGCTTACTCAGCTTCTCTTTCCCAGCTGACTCTTACACATGATGAAAATCCTGCCCACAAAGCTCTGAAACAGTGCCATCTTTTCATATGTAAATGATATACTCTTGGGCATCAGTGGGAAAAGTTTTTATTTCTGTGCATACTTTTTCACATGGTTAGAGAAATCAGAGAAAGAAGGTGGGGTACTTTGTATTATGCAGAGTTCCAAAAAATAATAATAATAATCACTCCAGAAACATGACAATGAAAAGAAACAGTAATTACCTTTCCTACTTTTTCCTTCATCAACAGTTTTTATGGGAACAAAAGTATATTTCAAGAGAAAAAAGTGTTTACCTATTTCCCTCATCTCCCAAGTTTTAAAGTTTTAAACAAAGCAGGACCTTTCAGCTCTATAGTTTTCAATGTTAATAGTAATAGACGTGTTTGGAATTTCCTGTCATCGTTGGGATTGATTTTCAGCTCCTGAAACTTTCATCTTTGTTGTAGACAGTTAATGACATTTATTGGATGCCCAGTGTGTCTGGGCTGGTGTGTGAAGAAAACAGAAAGTTCTGTCCCTGTCTTTTTGTGCGCTCTTACACGCGATAAAAACAACGGCCTGTGCTCACTTTGGCAGCATATATGCTAAAACGTTGGCCTAGTGGCTTGAAGCTATACAAACTCAAGTAATTATGATTGGAAATATTTTTAACTTCTCAGAGGACAATTTAAAACTTTATTATTAAGGGCTTACTATGAGCCTTATTCTGGGGTAAGTAATATGGAGGACATAAAATAATATGAAATGTCATTCTTGCCTTCAAGGAACACTTTTCTTGTTGGGTAGTCATGATTTACAACACAGGTACAGTTAAAAAATACTAGAATGATACAGAATTAAGACTCATGTGTCTTCTCTAGATTATGATTCCTGTAAGTGAAGTATGAAGTTACTGTGGGCTTTGTAGATCAGTGCGGGCATTGTGGAAGTGGTGGTGCTTCATTCAGTTGTGTCTTGAAGGATTCAGAAAAGGAGAGAGCATGAAGACAGGTATGGAAATAAGAAGTCAGGGCTTAAGGTGATGGGTTGTGAGAAATAAAGACAGTGACAGGACCATCACCAGACCATCACTGCATCAGCTTAATTAACATTTTTCAGGACTTACTATTATACATGCCAGGCATTTGGGAAGTCATTTAAGTTTCACAGTGACCCAGTGAGGTAGATGTTTTTATTCTGCATAAGGAAACTAAGACAAAGAGAAGTTAAGTAACTAGTAGGACATAGGATTAGAACTTGAGCCCAGAATGTTTGACTTCTGAGGCACTGTGTTAACTTATGTACTATGTGTGCAGGGGCCAGAGAAAATCTAGCCTCATGAAACACAAAGCTATTTCATGATTTAATTTGGGGAAGCCTATGTGTTCAACATAATGGTTATACAAACAACAGGATTCAGTTGTGACTGATTTCAGCAAAAAGGGAATTTATTAAAGGAGATTGGAAAGCTAGCAGAATCAAAGGAAGAATGGTTAATCAGATTTTGGAATGGATTAGTACAGTTCCTGAAGCTGAAACTCCAATACTTTGGCCACCTGATGCGAAGAACTGACTCATTGGAACAGACCCTGTTCCTGGGAGGGATTGAAGGCAGGAGGAGAAGGGAGCGACAGAGGATGAGATGGTTGGATGGCATCACCGACTCAATGGGCGTGAGTTTGAACAAGCTCTGGGAGTTGGTGATGGACAGGGAAGCCTGGCGTGCTACAGTCCATGGGGTTGCAAAGAGTCGGACATGACAGGGACTGAACTGAACTGAACTGAACTAAGCACAGTTCCAGGGACCTAGGGGCCAAGAACTCAGGAAAAGCTCTTCCAGTCATTGACACCAGAGAGACTGAATTTCAACTGTTCTCTGTCTTGAGTCATTCTGCCTAAGATTCAGATTCCAGGGGAAAAAGTAAGATTGGCCTAACTTGGGGCCAGTAGGGTTGGGAGCAGTTCATGCTGACTGAGATTTGTGCCAGGATCATATGGCATGGCAGAAGGATAGTTCTTCAAAGGAAAACTGGAATGTTTATCAAAAGGAGGGAGAGAGAGCCTGAGCATATGCCTTTTCCACTCCTGGTCTGTGTTTTTAGTGGGTGCCTTTTCCTATCTTTAGACTATGAGTGAGTATTGCATAGAATATCAGTTTTCAGTGCCACTCAAATATCAGAGTGTGGTCATAGATGTTCAAGGCAGTGGTGAATTCTAGCAAGATCTAAAGAAAACTTTAAGGAGAGCAAGTTTGGTGACATAGTAAGACCAGAAGGCAGGTCACAGATGATAAAAGTAGTGAGAAAATTGTAACCAAATAAAAATATAAAGCAATAATTAGGAGAAAATATGGTATTCTCTTTATAGTTGCTTTGAAGACTGAAGTAATTGTGCTGATTAATTTCTTTGTAAAGAGATACTGAAATCAATTACAGCCAACCTAGTGTCTACTGCACTTCCATCAAAATAATGACAGTCACTACTATCTCCAATGCCACCCCCAAGAAAGTTCTTAGTGAAATGAGTGTGAGGATTAAAAATTTAGTACTAAAAGGCAAAACAGATGACTGTTTGGCAATGAATAATGTGACTGCAGTAGAATAATCTTTAAAAACCAAGTCTCTAACCAGGATATAAACCTTAACAGGCAAAATTGATTGCTAAAATACTTTTTATAAAAGGTTGTTTATAATTACAGCAATTAAAATTATGACCTATGCAGATGAAAAATTGATAACTTAGATGCATTATAACGTGGCTTTCCAGTTCCTGTCCACCGGTCACTGGATTATGTGGAATATGTTGTTCAGGACAGAGGCAGGATCTTTTCCGTTCTCCTGTTACCTTTTGTTGCAGTGGGTTTCTGTCCTCTGCCCCAGCTCCACTCGCCTAGCCTGTTACTCTTTCAGTTCCTGAAGAGCACCCCCTCACGCCCTGCCTGCGCTGACTGTGTCTCTGCTGGTGCCCCTGCCCCGGTTCAGCCCCACACACACGGTGCGGCCGGTTCCACTCTGTCCAGCGCCCACTTTTCCTCCCGCAGCGCCACGCGCGCCTGCCTCGTCTTTCATTCTCTCCTCCTTCCTCGCTTCTTACAGCCACACTAGCTTCCTATCTCTTACTGCGGTAGGGCACTCACTGTCCTGCCACCGGACTTTCCTCTTGATTTTCCTAGATCATTCTGCCTGCAGATATAAACTTGCCTTGATTTCCTGTCTTCCTTCTCAGGCCTTCATATTTCCTTTCTCTCTTTAGCTAGTTTTCCTCCTCAGCCCAGATAACTTTCTAATGTACTTCCTGATGTTGTGTGTTTATCTGTCCCTTTCCTAGAGACCCACAGAGTGAACTTCTACTAGAGAGTCCTGTGAAAGGAGGGGTATTTGTCTGTTTTCTTTGCTGCTAGACCCCCTACCTAGAGCAATACCTGGCACTCAAGAGATTGCTTTTGTTTGTTTTTTTGTTTTGTTTGTTGATTGATTTTTGGTTTATTTGTTTTTGGCCATGCTGTGCAGCTTGGGGAATCTTAGTTCCCTGACCAGGGAGCGAACCTGAGCCCTCAGGAGTGGAAGCATGGAGTCCTAACTACTGGACTGCCAGGGAATTCTCATCAGGAGATGTTTGTTTAATGGTGATGGTGCTGCTAGGGCAAGATCTGTGAGAGAGTGAAGCTGAAGACTAAGATAGAGAGGTGATGTCAAACCAGAGCATAGGACAGGTTAGTCCGGGGATGTCTAGATTCTATTTTATTTATTTGGCTGCATTGAGTCCTAGTTGTGGCACCCGGGATCTTTTACTGTGATATGCAGGCTTCTCTAGTTGTGGTGCGTGGGCATAGTTGCCCCATAGCTTGTGGAGATCTCAGTTCCCTAACCAGGGATCCAGCCCAAATCTTCTGCCTTGCAAGGTGGACTCACCACTGGACTGCTAGGGAAGTCCCTAGACTCTAATTGTTGAATATTTAAAACAGTCACATCGTGTTAGCTAAATATAGCAAAATTGGCCCAGAAATTCTGCTTTTAAGACCTTATTTCTTAGATGTATTTTGTACACATGTAGAATGATATATTACATTAATTTGTCATAGCAGCATTTTCAAGAACAAGACTGGAAATAATTTTCATGTCTTATCAGTTCAGTAAATTGTGGTATATTCATACTATAAAATAATATATAGCTATTGAAATAGGATGAAGCATGAATAAGCTGTTATATACTAATAAGCAATGAGCTCAATGACATACTTCAAATGAAATTAAGAAGGTATAGCACACCTGTTTGTTAGAAAGGGGGAGATATGTATTCACATTTGCTTGTGATACATTAAATATACCTGGAAAGTGCACAAGGAACTGATGATGCTGGCTGCCTTTGTAGAAGGGTACCAGTTGGCTAGAGCTTGCTGAGAAGTTGGTGAAATGAATGAAGGTGGAGGATAGGAAAAGATGTCTTATTACATATATTATATACTTGTGTGTTTTGTATTTTCAATCATATGAATGAATCTTCGTGTTAAAAACATAGAAATTACTCAACATCACTCATTATTAGAGAATGCAAATCAAAAGTACAATGAAGTATCACCTCACACCAGCCAGAGTGGCCATCATCAAAAAAAATCTGCAAACAGTAAATGGTAGAGAGGATGTGGAGAAAAGGGAACCCTCTTCCACTATTGATGGGAATGT